CCTGCCTAGGCAGGAAACCCGATACCATTTCAAACAAGTGGCTATCCAACATCTTCTTAAAGACTTCCAGTGTTGGGGCATTCACAACTTCCGGAGGCAAGCTGTTCCATTGATTAATTGTTTTAATTGTGAGGAAATTTCTCCTCAGTTCAAAGTTGCTTCTCTCATTGATTAATTTTCACACATTGCTTCTTGTTTTACATTCAGGTGCACTGGAGAATAGTTTGACTCCCTCTTCTTTGTGGCAACCCCTGAGACATTGGAACACTGATATCATGTCTCTCCTATTCCTTCTTTTCATTAAACTAGACATACCCAGTTTCTGCAACCGTTCTTCATATGTTTTAGTCTCCAGTCCCCTAATCATCTTTGTTGCTCTTCTCTGCACTCTTTCTAGAGTCTCCACATCTTTTCTACATCATGGCGACCAAAACTAAATGCAGTATTCCAAGTGTGGCCTTACTTGTGCCAAGCAATACATGCCAAACTAAAACTCTATGGCTTTTCATGGCCTCTTATCACTTTGATGGGTTATGAACACACACAAGCTGATCTCAAACAGCAGGTCATAGATTTAGAACTTCAAACAGACTTTCCAGTTCTACCAAGAAACACCTTCTTGAGCCATTCTGCACATCTTCTTCAACCAGCTAACTACCCACATAATGATCCCCAAATTCAGAAATGCTTTATCTTTTCAATAGCCATTATTGAAGGAAGATACCAAAAGGACTCCTTTGAATGGAGACTGTGCCCTGACAAAAAGCTTACCAAGAATTTAAATGGTTTAATGGTCTAGTAAAATTTGAAATAATAGTATGATGGAGGAGGAAAAGACAAAAAGGATAAGATATATGAATGAAGAATATCCATACTGAAGAACATTATTTCAATATCAAATTAAGGATTAACAATGTCAGAATACTATGTAAGAGCAAAGAATATAAAATTGACTTGTTTGATGACGGATGAAGGTAATGAATGTTTTTACGTAATACTAGAAAATCTTTTATGAGCTTTTTGCTGAAACTACAACAGACTGTCACCGATTTTTGGATTGCGGATTGAAATGGAAAGAAGTGATATATGTAAAGTAATTTCAAAGGGGGCGGAAGGATGTCACACTTGCTGGTACTTGATGTAAAGAAGCTTAGAAGTCACTCTTTAAATATTTTCATTCTTTTTCTTTTCTTTATTTCTTTTCTGAATTTTCTTTTCTCTATATTTTTTCCATTCTTTCTCTTTCATTAATTTCATTTTGTATTAACTTTTATTACTGTTAAAAAATATTCAATAAAAACCATTTTCAAAACAGAATTGTAAATGCCAGACATTTACAGACCAGCTACATATATTCCAATCTCAATCACACTGCAAAGATTTGAAGTTTGATATGGCCCTAAAAGCCAGACTTGAGTGGGAAGCAGAATGTTCTTTATTATACTGTTGACATTCAGTGTTTTTTTCATCTTTTTATTTCACTTTTTGTGAACCTCTTTGAAGCAAAGAGATTGACACTAACATATGCAAGAACTCACCTCAGTTGCCTGTCCCTGCATACAGCAACCATCACCAATAGATTCCCCAGGATAGCCATAAGAATAACTGCTGAAATAAAAGTGAGCAGTGTAATCTTCTCTGCCACGCCAAATCCTTCAGTTGAGCTGTTAAAAAAAGATATAGATGTAAACCCTCAAGAATACGTATAAATAGGCAGTGCCAAATTGGTTTGTTTATTCTGAGTTTCTGTACATAATTTAGCTTCTTCACCTGCAGAAACCACACTAATTCCTAACAACCAATGGTTGTAAATAAACATAATTTGCAAGGAAACTGGTCTACTTACAGGATAAGTAAGTGACCAATCCCTAAAACCACTCCTATTTTGTATTTGAAAACTTCAGAACAAATTTTAAAGACATGTTTTATAATTAATTTTTCAACCTATATTCAAAATTGATCTTCAATTAATTAATTACCCAAAATAAAATTTATATGCCTTGATTGCAGAGAGCCGAGGTGGCGCAGTGGTTAAATGCAGCACTGTAGACTACTTCAGCTGACTGCAGTTCTGCAGTTCGGCTGTTCA